AAAAATTGAATTCTTTGGGTTCTTTGATATGCTGAATCTAAACATGTATTTAGATTTTTGATTATGGGCCCAGTTTTCAAGTTGGTCCAAATCGGGGTCCAAAATTCAACTTTGTTTGATTTCAACAAAAATTGAATATATGGGGTTCTTTGATATGCTGAATCTAACCATGTATTTAGATTTTTGATTTTTGGGCCCCGTTATCAACTTTGTCCACATTGAGGTCAAAAGGGTCCAAAATTAAACTTTGTTTGATTTCATCAAAAATTGAATTCTTGGGGTTCTTTGATATGCTGAATCTAACCATGTATTTAGATTTTGGATATTGGACCATAATAGGTGATTGTCCAATTTAAAATTTTTAAGTTCTTAGACCACATTCATTCTTTGTCAGAAACCTATGCTGTGTCAAATATTTAATCACAATCCAAATGCAAAGCTGTATCAAGCTTGAATGTTGTGTCCATACTTGCCCCAACTGTTCAGGGTTCGACCTCTGCGGTCGTATCAAGCTGCGCCATGCGGAGCATTTTATTATGTATTAGTTTGTGATTAGATCAGTTCAAGATGAACTGCTAATGTTAAGTCAATGATATTTGGTATGCAAATTCTTGAAAACTGTAAAAGATAGATAGAATCTTTAAATAGCATAAATGATCAGCAAGACAAGATCTACAAATAAGTTAAAATAACCAATATTGTCACATGGTTCCTTATTAGAGTTATTGCCCTTTAATGAAGATTTGTACCAAATTTTCCAATTTTCGCCTTCTATCTTGAAAACTGTAATAAATAGATAGAAACTTTTAATAGAACAAATGATCAGCAAGACAAGATTTACAAGTAAGCCTTATGGTCTAAATCGTCAATCGACTTGTTATTGGAGTTATTGCCCTTTAATGATAATTTTTACATTTTTTTCATTAGAAAATAAATATATAAATAGAATCTTTAGAAAAGAAAAATATCAGCAGGATACAACCTTCAAATATGTCAACGTGACTAAGATTGTCAGTTAGCTCTAAATAGAGTTGTTCCCCTTTAATGATGATTTTTACTAAAAAGTGGCCATTGTTAAAGATGTAGGTGAGGGACACAGGCTCTTTAGAGCCTCTAGTTTTAGTATTGTGACAATAACACCTTGTGAAGGCAAGTCTTCTAAGACTGTTTTATAAAAAGCTCTCATACTTGGTAGGACTGTTTGCCATCATGTGTCATTGACCATATTAAAGCACTATGTCGACTTGGCCATTTTTACAGGAGCTTTTGGACTTTGACTAGTTTTTTTTATAGAGGAAATAGTCATTTTGTGAACGCAACTCCACTGAGACCATTTGACAGAAAGCGCTCATACTTATTAGGATTGTTTGTCATCATTTGTAGACAATTTTTTCTGGTCATTTTGATTTGACCATTTTTATGGGAATTATGGGACTTTTACCATATTTTAACTATCTTACCATAATGACACAATGTGACACAAAATTTAACTCCTCATTTATACAGGGCAGCAGTTATTTAGCTACGGCGTAGTACTCTTGTTCCTGTTGATGTATGCAGTAGATTTTTATTTTGGTCAATGTAATCTATTTTGTATTCAAATGAGTTGCTGATTTGAAATTTAAAAAAACAAGCTGTTCTTATGAATTTTCAATATTAATTTGAAATTTGTCTATTTTCTACTTGAACTCACAACATTTATAGAAGTTGTGAATAAGAAATGTTTTGATCGAGTACAAATAATGTTTTACACGAGATCGAAGCAGGTTGTCCATTCACTAACACATTTACTGTACATAATTTAACATGTTTAATTGAAATATATGTTGCATTGTACAACAGCTTGTGAAATCATAGATATATAGGAAGAATGGATATAGAAAATGCCTGACTATTTGTGATTTCCTTCAATGAATTTGGAAGTATGAGACATCTATGGGTTGTAGATACGGGAAATATGATATGTATGTATATCCTTCTAAACAAATTATTGAAAATCTTATTTTGTCTTTAGAAATTAGTTTTCTTGTATTGAACATTTAGTGATTTCACCATGACAGCTTGTACATTTATAAGCTATAGAAACAAATGATGATCTTACATAGATGGCAAGTATTTGTATAACTTAACTTTATTAGAACTGCCTCGATTTGGATTCCACAACATTTTTTTATGCAAAGAAGATTGTGACATGTATGAGTGGCGAGACATACTTTGGTTTATGAGTGGAGGAGGTACTGTCGTTTATAAGTTGAGAATTGTAGTTTGGTTAAAATAATTGGGAATAACAGCCTGGTTTATGATTGGAGAGGTTTAGCATGGTTAATGAGGGGGAAAGATGTAGGCTTGTTCATGTAATTGATAGACATAGCCTGGTTATATATATTTGATAAAGAGTGGTGATACAAAGTGGTTTATGACTGGGGAGACTAACTAAGCCTGGTTTATGACTGGGGAGACTAACTAAGCCTGGTTTATGACTGGGGAGACTAACTAAGCCTGGTTTATGATTAAGAGAATCCTGCTCAGTTTTGATTTTATATGGCCTGATCTCTTTTATCTGCCAATTTAGTCCAGGAATATTTTTTCTTTGGTGTCTACCTTATCACATCTACCAGGCCCAGGAATATATTTTCTTTGGGTGTCTACCTTTCCACATCTACCAGGCCCAGGAATATTTTTTCTTTGGTGTCCACCTTTCCACATCTACCAGCTTTTGCTGTACTTATTTATTGTATATTATGGGGCGTACATCTTTCTATGTACCTGTTATTTAGTATTGACTTTGTATTGTTTACTTGAGTAATTTACTGTTCATCTGTGTGTGATAGGATATTCTTTGACTTTATATTGTATGAATAATAAAATTTACTGACATCAAAACTGTTTGCTTAAGTCTTTCTCTTTTAACAGGGTATGTTCTATATTTATATTAAGATTTTTATAGCAGTTTTCTATTGTCTGCCAGTTTATGCTTAGAAATGTATACAGTAACCCCTTCTTGATTAGGAGAGAGGTTACTTGTTGCTCCTTTACCATTGAATTACCCCCATAAGATGCATCTTGTTGGAGGTAAATATCTTTCCTATTTTAAATCACCCAAATGGTTATAATTGTCAGTTTCATTTTATTGATAGATATAGTAATAAAATCTGAGGTTTAAGACACAAGTCACTAAAGCCAATAGGCATGTGTTGTGTGACTGTTGGTTGACATGATTTCCTTACTTTCCATATATATTTGATTAAATTTATAGATGTTTGCTAAATGTGGATAAGTAATAGCTATAAAATGTCCTCGAATGAAGAGTTTATATGGCACTTGGATACTCTGTGACTTTATATTATTTGGTGTTTTGACATTTCTCCAGCTGTGTACATTATTATACTTCATTGATCCGCATATAAATCTGTAATACTGTTTTCGTGTTAGTTGTAGAGACACAATCTATCTTTTCTATAAAGCTCAGCGGTCTTTACTTGATTTTTCCCTGTTGGGTACAAAAATCAATCGTTCTTCAATAGTTTGAAAGCCCATTAAGTTTGGTCTATGGTTATTTTTACCTGTACTGCAAAAATTTTATGATTAAATTAATTGCAAGGATTATCTCCCCTAAATCAGCGTTCAGAAAGATCAAGGCCTTCATTTATTGACACGATTGACAGTGGTCCAAGTGAATCAATAATGTTATACTCTTACTGGGAAATATTTATTATGTATCAGAACTGTCTGATTTATTCTGATTTACCACCAGGTTAAGAAAACATCACTTTTTCAGTGAAACCTGTATCAACAGAATTCTTTTAGGACTGAAGAATTTGTTCCCTTTTTACAGGTTCAAAATAGAAAAATGTTTGTGTAAAGGGACTTTGAAGCAAGAAGGGTTTAGCTGGTTTTCTGGTTTTAGTCAGAGTTCAATTAGAACTGATTTCACTGTATTACATTTTCCCTTCCGATACACAATTGAACAGGGTGCTGTCCATGCCCACAATACAAATTTAGTAGACTTCTAGACTTCTTTCATGTATATATATATGAAGATGTGGTATGATTGCCAATGAGACAACTATCCACCAGAGACCAAGGAGATGTGGTCTGATTGCCAATGAGACAACTATCCACCAGAGACCAAGGAGATGTGGTCTGATTGCCAATGAGATGCCAATGAGACAACTATCCACCAGAGACCAAGGAGATGTGGTCTGATTGCCAATGAGACAACTATCCACCAGAGACCAAGGAGATGTGGTCTGATTGCCAATGAGACAACTCTCCACCAGAGACCAAGGAGATGTGGTCTGATTGCCAATGAGACAACTATCCACCAGAGACCAAGGAGATGTGGTCTGATTGCCAATGAGACAACTATCCACCAGAGACCAAGGAGATGTGGTCTGATTGCCAATGAGACAACTCTCCACCAGAGACCAAGGAGATGTGGTATGATTGCCAATGAGACAACTCTCCACCAGAGACCAAGGAGATGTGGTCTGATTGCCAATGAGACAACTCTCCACCAGAGACCAAGGAGATGTGGTCTGATTGCCAATGAGACAACTATCCACCAGAGACCAAGGAGATGTGGTCTGATTGCCAATGAGACAACTATCCACCAGAGACCAAGGAGATGTGGTCTGATTGCCAATGAGACAACTATCCACCAGAGACCAAGGAGATGTGGTATGATTGCCAATGAGACAACTATCCACCAGAGACCAAGGAGATGTGGTATGATTGCCAATGAGACAACTATCCACCAGAGACCAAGGAGATGTGGTATGATTGCCAATGAGACAACTATCCACCAGAGACTAAATGATGTAGATGTTAGTAACTAATATAATGTTACACAGTTTGATAGAGTGCTGTATCATCAAAGTGATTGCAATCATGCATATGACAGAAATATGCAAATTTCATTATATAATGTTGATAATTTTTTTGACCATATATGTTTCATCTTTGGTGGTTTAACTTTATAGCATGTTTTAATATTTCAGATCAAGAGGTGCTTCTAACCCTTCAGGATCTCACATTCATGGTCGAGGTTCAACGGGTCAAGAAAACAACAAAATACCAGGTAAGACTTATCTCTCAAAACAATATAATCATCTCATTTACACTCTACCATGTAACAAATGAATTGGAGAATATAAAGTTTGGTTAGACCTATAAAGTTTGGTTAGACCTATAATGTTTGGTTAGGCCTCACCAATTATAACATGTTTGATGTTTGAATCATGGAATTTGCTAGTGTGTGAGGAAATTGCCAGGGATGTTGAAATTCTGTCAAGTAAAGGACCTGATGCCTTTATACTTCATCAATCAAAGATTTTCACCAATGCAATTGATTGATTGTTGTAGCAAAATATGGGAATTAATACCCTAGTCAGAAATGACTGTTCCAACAAATTCTTGCTAAACTGCTATTTTTGAAGTTCACTTTTCTGCTATTTTTAGGTCCAGAGTACACTGTAATAAACCCGGAAATATATTTTGTTTTCTTCATATAACACAAGGCTGTCAATACCACTCTAAAACGCGTTTGAATTTGTTGTCTTAGTTGACTTTTCTGAATGCATTGTTACCATGTTACCATACATATTAAGAAGAGAATTTTCTGCAGATTATAAATGTTTTAGCCTCTAGTAAGGGATTGGAAAAATTGATAAGTGACTGCTGGAATTGTCATACTCAACATGTTATTTAATTGGTTCATCATGTATGATAAACTTTTCCTTTTCTTTTTATTGATTAGGTATACTAGTAGTAGATTTCATACCTTTAGAAATAAGATCATTCTGAAACACTGAAAACGAAGTATTATTATCAATTGTGAAAATGACATTTGGATAAAAAAATATATAAAAAATATACCCCAAAAAATCATTATAGTAATCTAAAGCCAATGGTGTTGTGCTTTCAAAGCAGAAATTATGATCTGTTGTGAAATTTACTATCTTCTCTCCTTTTGTATTTCTAAAATATTCAATTCCATACAATTTACTTAAAAGTAACGTAGGCTAGCATAATAACCAGAATGCTACAACAATGTAGCATTTTTATGCCCCCGCCGTAGCGGAGGGGGCATTAAGTTTTACCCTTGTCCGTCTGTACGTACGTACAACATACGTACGTACATCCCAAAATTGGTTTCCATTCTCTAACTTTAGTTTGCCTCAACCAAATGTTATGAAACTTATACACAATGCTTATTACCACAAAACACAGATCAAGTTTGAATTTTGGTGGTGTCACTTTAACCGTTCTAGAGTTATGCCCCTTTATAAATGGAAAAATTGCAAAATTTTTAGCTTCCGTTCTCTAACTTAAGATTGCCTCAACCAAATGTTATGAAACTTATACACAATGCTTATTACCACAAAACACAGATCAAGTTTGAATTTTGGTGGCGTCACTTTTACCGTTCTGGAGTTATGCCCCTTTACAAATGGAAAAATTGCTGAATTTTTCGTTTCCGTTCTCTAATTTTAGTTTGCCTCAACCAAATGATATGAAACTTATACACAATGCTTATTACCACAAAACACAGATCAAGTTTGAATTTTGGTGGCGTCACTTTAACTGTTCTAGAGTTATGCCCCTTTAGAAATGGAAAAATTGCAAAATTTTTATTTTCTTCTAAATATCAAGTAATTTTTAAAATTGGAGTTATCTTCCTTTGTCCATGATTATAGTTGATTCAACTACAATCAATGCTTTATACAATGCAATGTTTAATTTTGATCAAGTTGAATTTGGTAGTGTCACTTTAACCATTATTGAGTTATGCCCTTTATAAATCGAAAGATTGCAAAATTTTTAGTTTCCATTCTGTAACTTACGTTTGCCCCAACCAAACATTATGAAACCTATACACAATATTCATTACCACAAAACTAAGATCCAGTACAAATATTTTGTTTCAGTTTTCTAACTTTAGTTTGCCTCAACCAAATGTTATGAAACTTATACACAATGCTTATTACTACATAATACAGATTAAGTATGAAATTTGGTGGCAACACTTTTACCATTCTTGAGTTATGTCCCTTTATAAACATAAAAATTGCTGAATTTTTCGTTTCCGTTCTCTAACTTTAGTTTGTCTCAACCAAATGTTATAAAACTTATACACAAACCTTCTAGAGTTATGTGTGTTTACAAATAGAAAAATTGCTGAATTTTTTAGTTTCTGTTCTCTACTTAAGTTAGCCTCAACCAAATGTTATGAGACTTACACGCAATGCTTATTACCACAAAACTCAGATCAAGTTCAAATTTGGGTAGTGTCACTTTTACCGTTCTTCAGTTATGTCCCTTTATAACTATATGATATGCAAGCGGGGGCATCATCTGTGTCCACATGTGGACACTATCCACATTTATTTCTGTATAAAATGACTGCATAGCCATACAATAACCATCAATAGGCATATACACATATTTAACAACTGACAGGCTACAGACCTTTGGAGTTACTTCCCTTTGTCTGATCATAGATAGACCTGAGTGATTTTTCAGAAGAAGGCATAATTTTAATTTGCTCTAAGTAAACAAATAAACTGTAGCTGTGATAAATTGTTCCATTGTGTATCAAGAGTACAAAGAGAACATAAAAGCAAGATTTAAAATGTAAAAACTCTGTTATTAATCAATATGTGATCAATAATTGATGAAAATATTGTTTCTATACCTATTACCATGAAACATAGAAATTGTACTTTTGGAAAACATGTGGGAATTTCGATTGTTATAATATAATAACTGAATAAAAGTGTATAGTAACAATTTTCTGTGACAAGAATAGTATCGTTATAAGTTTTTGTGACAAGAATGTCGTTATAAGTTTCTGTGACAAGAATGGTACTGTAATAAGTTTCTGTGACAAGAATGGTATTGTAATAAGTTTCTGTGAAAAGAATAGTATCGTTATAAGTTTCTGTGACAAGAAAGGTATTGTAATAAGTTTCTGTGACAAGAATGGTATTGTAATAAGTTTCTGTAACAAGAATGGTATTGTAATAAGTTTCTGTGAAAAGAATAGTATCGGTATAAGTTTCTGTGACAAGAAAGGTATTGTAATAAGTTTCTGTGACAAGAATAGTATAGTTATAAGTTTCTGTGACAAGAATAGTATAGTTATAAGTTTCTGTGACAAGAATGGTATCGTTATAAGTTTCTGTGACAAGAAAGGTATTGTAATAAGTTTCTGTGACAAGAATGGTATTGTAATAAGTTTCTGTGACAAGAATGGTATCGTTATAAGTTTCTGTGACAAGAATGGTATTGTTATAAGTTTCTGTGACAAGAATGGTATCGTTATAAGTTTCTGTGACAAGAAAGGTATCGTTATAAGTTTCTGTGACAAGAATGGTATCGTTATAAGTTTCTGTGACAAGAAAGGTATTGTAATAAGTTTCTGTGACAAGAATAGTATAGTTATAAGTTTCTGTGACAAGAATGGTATCGTTATAAGTTTCTGTGACAAGAATGGTATTGTTATAAGTTTCTGTGACAAGAATGGTATCGTTATAAGTTTCTGTGACAAGAAAGGTATCGTAATAAGTTTCTGTGACAAGAATAGTATAGTTATAAGTTTCTGTGACAAGAATGGTATCGTTATAAGTTTCTGTGACAAGAATGGTATCGTTATAAGTTTCTGTGACAAGAATGGTATCGTTATAAGTTTCTGTGACAAGAATGGTATTGTAATAAGTTTCTGTGACAAGAATGGTATCGTTATAAGTTTCTGTGACAAGAATGGTATCGTTATAAGTTTCTGTGACAAGAAAGGTATTGTAATAAGTTTCTGTGACAAGAATAGTATAGTTATAAGTTTCTGTGACAAGAATGGTATCGTTATAAGTTTCTGTGACAAGAATGGTATAGTTATAAGTTTCTGTGACAAGAATGGTATCGTTATAAGTTTCTGTGACAAGAAAGGTATCGTAATAAGTTTCTGTGACAAGAATAGTATAGTTATAAGTTTCTGTGACAAGAATGGTATCGTTATAAGTTTCTGTGACAAGAATGGTATCGTTATAAGTTTCTGTGACAAGAATGGTATCGTTATAAGTTTCTGTGACAAGAATGGTATTGTAATAAGTTTCTGTGACAAGAATGGTATCGTTATAAGTTTCTGTGACAAGAATGGTATCGTTATAAGTTTCTGTGACAAGAATGGTATCGTTATAAGTTTCTGTGACAAGAATGGTATGGTAATAAGTTTCTGTGACAAGAATGGTATTGTAATAAGTTTCTGTGAAAAGAATAGTATCGTTATAAGTTTCTGTGACAAGAAAGGTATTGTAATAAGTTTCTGTGACAAGAATGGTATTGTAATAAGTTTCTGTAACAAGAATGGTATTGTAATAAGTTTCTGTGAAAAGAATAGTATCGGTATAAGTTTCTGTGACAAGAAAGGTATTGTAATAAGTTTCTGTGACAAGAATGGTATTGTAATAAGTTTCTGTGACAAGAATAGTATCGTTATAAGTTTCTGTGACAAGAAAGGTATTGTAATAAGTTTCTGTGACAAGAATGGTATCGTTATAAGTTTCTGTGACAAGAAAGGTATTGTAATAAGTTTCTGTGACAAGAATAGTATAGTTATAAGTTTCTGTGACAAGAATAGTATAGTTATAAGTTTCTGTGACAAGAATGGTATAGTTATAAGTTTCTGTGACAAGAATGGTATTGTAATAAGTTTCTGTGACAAGAATGGTATCGTTATAAGTTTCTGTGACAAGAATGGAATTGTAATAAGTTTCTGTGACAAGAATGGTATAGTTATAAGTTTCTGTGACAAGAATGGTATTGTAATAAGTTTCTGTGACAAGAATGGTATCGTTATAAGTTTCTGTGACAAGAATGGAATTGTAATAAGTTTCTGTGACAAGAATTGTATTGTAACAAGTTTCTGTGACAAGAATGGTATCGTAATAAGTTTGTGTGACAAGAATGGTATTGTAATAAGTTTCTGTGACAAGAATTGTATCGTAATAAGTTTGAGTTTGTTAAGTAGAATAAATTACTACACTAACCAAAGCACGTATAAGATTATTCATAGCTAACAAGTACCTGAATGTTGATTGATTACTTTTGGTTCTGTAACTTTGTACTTTTCTAATTACATTGACATAAACAGATTTAATGAGATCGACAGGAAATATAGACGGGATTAGTACATGTTAGCGTGTTTGATGTTGACATGTCAGAAGTCCATTGGACAATCCTACGTAATTCTTACTAAGATAAATTAATATGTTTCAATTGTAAAATATCTTTTATATTGTGTTTACTACAATTTTGTTTACTATAGCTATGTTATAGTAAAATATTGACCCCATTGATAACAGACCAGCTCTATGTTGGGAAGTAAACATCTTCTTACCACCTCCATAAAGTCTACATTTATGTTTCGTTTCCTCCAGTTAAGAAACTTTTAGTATACTTCATGGTTAGCATGTTATATTTTAACACAATGCTAGAAACCACTGAACTTAGGTCAGGTTGAAGTTGATACATTACACATAGTTAAATGAAAGGGAAAATAGATGAATTTGAGGTCAAATTACCATATAAATTGTCATAATTTTGAAATAGTTCAGTTTATTTTTCTGGGCAATGTCATGTTTGATGATTGGGCATTATATGTAAAGTTTGTGATGAAAGATCTAAGTTTTGTTCCTGTTAGCCATATTTTTTAATTGAATACAACTAATAAAATCATACATTTATCATAGCTATTGTAATTTTGTTACTTTTTAGCTGACATGGTTCTATTGCAATAAATTTGTAATCACGATTTTGATAGATCAACATCATATATTTTGAGGTGGCAGATTCAATGGTCTACCACCCTGTAACTAAGGATAATGTTTCGCAGAATTTTCGGTTTATGTGATTCTTATTTACTAAATAAGGACATAAATTGATTATCCGTTAGTTTTGCTCTGCTACACGTTGCTAGGTAAACTCAGTTTGAGACAGGACAGTAAAACCTATGTTTTACGTAGGCCAAGCTGAAAATACTATACAGTTGTCTCATAATTTGAGGCATCAAGTTTACGGTCGGTAAATCATTTTGTCCAGTAAAGTTTGTTCATTAGTTCATTTGACATTTTGTCAATGAAATACATAAACTTATTGGCTGATATATTGCAGGATCTATATTGTGAGCTTTCGTAAAAGTTCTCCACGTAATTTTCAATTTTCTCCAACATTCAATTCTAAACATGAATGTTTATAAAGCAATATAAGATTAGACAGGTAGTCTGAGGGGGATTTTTTTTATCTTTCGGATGAATTTATTCTAATCAAGACTTCCTTATATGTTTATTATGTGTCCCTGTTTTCCTTCATTAAGAGTTGTTTATCATTAATTTTTACTCTGAGTAATCTACATCCTACATATACCATGCCTACGTTCACAATATGCCTACAATGATCTTATGTTAATTATGTCTTATGTAATATAATTTGCTATGACCAACAATTATGACTGGTTAAATTTGTATGTCAGAACTAACCAGTAGTTATCTAATGCCTTCAGGCTGCAGATGATGAAGTGCATAACATTACAATAACTGTATTTTAGTTTTTGCTACATCATGTTATGGTATTATTATTTGTCAAAATGCTGATAATTTGTCAAAATGTTGCCGAAAATCAGTGCATATGCAGATTGGTATTAGTTAAGCTGAGTTTCATAATATCACAGCTATTTACTTGGTGCATGAACCAAGAAACGTGTACTTTTAATTCCCCTCACGGAAGAAATTGCATAATAACAACAGTTTTGTCAGATGCTGGCTGATCGTCCAAACCACCGTATGATTTCTATTCTTTAAACAAAGAACAAATTGTTTTTGTTTCATGCATGGTTGTATCAGATGTGTAATATTTAAATATATAATTAAACTTTGTCAAATCCAATAGTAAAACAAAATAGGTATACAGCCAATAGATTCATTCTCACCATCATGCCATGTAAAAGCTAATGATTCAGATTAGAATTAAGGAATAACATTACAGTGTTTGATATTTGAGTTGCTACCATCTTTTGGAGATTTGACCATCACAAAAGCAGTTTTATTGGCAATTTTGAGCTTAATCAGTAAAACTGATATTTGTGATCATCAAATCCTAAATTTACAGTGAGAACTCTAAAAACATAGTAATATTTTCCTATTCTAATGCAATTCTTGTAAAATGTTTAAAAGACGCATTTGAAATATTGTTAAAACATTGACTACTATTATGCAATGTTCTTGCTAATGACTCCAACCATAAACCATGGAATTGACAGCAGACGTCATCCAATAAAAGTGGCATTACATATATGTTTCTTTGCCATTAACAGTTCCTATGGTAATAACCTGCTCTTCCTTTTCAGATGAAAAATACTCACAAATGGCCCTGGATACCTTAGAGGAACTAGATTGGTGTTTGGATCAATTAGAAACCATACAGACTCACAGATCCGTCAGTGACATGGCATCAAGCAAGGTAGGTGGTTCATCAAATAAGCTATGACAGGGACCTCTCTCTCTTATCAATGTGTAAGTGACATGAGATCTTACATATACTAGGCTGAGATTGGGAACACACCTACTCATCCATGTGTAAGTGACATGAGATATTACATATACTAGGCTTAGATTGGGAACATACCCACTTATTCATGTGTAAGTGACATGAGATCTTGCATATACTAGGCTGAGATTGGGACCATACTCTACTCCTCCATGTAAAAGTGACATGAGATCTTACATATACTAGGCTAAGATTGGGAACACACCCACTCATGAGATCTTACATATACTAGGCTGAGATTGGGAACACACCCACTCATGATATCTTACATATACTAGGCTGAGATTGGGAACACACCCACTCATGAGATCTTACATATACTAGGCTTAGATTGGAAACATACCCACTCATGATATCTTACATATACTAGGCTGAGATTGGGAACACACCCACTCATGAGATCTTACATATACTAGGCTGAGATTGGGAACACACCCACATATGAGATCTTAAATATACTAGGCTGAGATTGGGAACACACCCACTCTTGACATCTTACATATACTAGGCTGAGATTGGGAACACACCCACTCATGAGATCTCAAGTCTATACCAACTCAGAGATGTGAAGGTGCCATTAGGTTATTTAAAAAGACCACACCAACACCTATTTTAGGTGACATGGTATTAAGCAAGTTAGTTCTTAAAAGACTAAGCAATATAATTTTTACATTAAAGATAGTGGGGACATAACAACTCATTGATCTGTCCATAACATGGCATCTAGCAAGGATAGGTCTCAGATATAGAAAGCTGACCTGAGTTTCACGATTATGAGTCCTAACATCCATGGTTGGATGTGAACTACACAGTCATTTATTCTCTGGTAAAACTTAACAATTGCATTACAAATATCAATCCTGCATCACAAGATTTTATTATTGAGTGTGTTTATTAAACGTCAAATGTTAAAACTAAAACTGTGCAGGTGGAACTCTGGTAAAACCACCAATTAATTTCTGTATCAGTCCGTTATTATCTTACATTTCTTGTGTACATTCTAATGTTTGTATTGTGATTTGATGTTAGAAAGGAAAGCTAATGTTCAACATTTTAAAGTTGATTGACAAACAACTCATTTCACAAAAAATCATACCAGAAAAAATTCTTGTAAGTCATGAACAATTCATTTTAACTTACGATTAATTTTTGTCGTAAGATTTTTGGTGATAAGAGCCCCTGAAGAAAGTACATTACCACATGTATGATTTTGACCTAGAAATAAATTTCTGTCCAACATGTCATCATTTTGTTACAATGTGGTAAAGGTTTTTCCCACAACAGGAAGGAAACCGCATAAGACTCCATAGTCTCTGAGATAACTTTTACCTGGGGAAATATAAACCTATTGTATTGACTCAGTATTAGTACAATTTTATAATTGATTTAAAGACATAATCATTTAGCAGTAGGATTTTGTAACTAAACTTTGAAAGACTTTGGGGCAATATCATGTTTGATTTATTGTATTGACACTTTTCTTTTGTTGATGCGTGGGTTGACCTTCAGATGTCTTTTTTTTTTTTTTTTTGTACTGTTGAGTTACTGTCTCAGTAATACTATACACCACATCTCTTTTTATTCATACAAAAGGCATTATTTAATAAGTGACAAAAACTTCCATATTATCAACAGTCATATGACATCAGTTATGAGGACATTAGAATAAAAAAAAAAAACATTAGGCCATTAGCCTTCTCTTTTGAATTGTTTTACATTTTTCATTTTGGGGTCTTTTATAGCTATGCGGTATTGGTTTTGCTCATTGTTGAAGGCCATACAATGACCTATAGTTGTTAACTTCTACGTCATTTGGTCTCTGGTGGAGATTTGTCTCATTGGCAATCATACCACATCTTCTTATTTTTATATTCCTTTTTTAAAGATTTCATTATTTATATTTTTCATGGGCAGATTTTACCTTTAGAACAGACAGTTATTGAATGTGGTATCGGTAAGAGATAGGACCCTTTTTCTACACATGTATAGCACTTTTAATATTTTGTCTGCTATTGTTTTTAACTGTAAACACAAAAAAAGGACCATTTTAATTTGACTTTCACATTGTTTTCATGCAATCAACTTGCACTGGTCACAACACTGCAAAACTATTTTTTAATCAGAATTGGTGATCATTGTCTAAAGAAGTTGTAAAATTTCAATTTATACTATCATTAAATCATGACACAAACACACTGCTTGTATATCATATCGTTCTCTCTTTCCAGTTTAAAAGAATGCTGAACAGAGAACTGAGTCATTTTGCTGAATCAAGTAAATCTGGAAACCAAATAGCAGAATATATATGTAATACATATCTAGGTAGGTACACTATGTGAAATGGTCAACATGTAAACATTGGAATATACATGAAATACATATCTGAAGTCATATCTAGGTGAGTACTCTTTGTGAAATGGACAACAGAAGAATAAGGATGTAATATATCCAGGATAGTACAGGCTGGGATAAGTCACACATACTAAGTGGGACCTACATGTAACATATAACATTGCATACCTTATTCAGTGAGTACAGACATGAAAACTGTTATAAAAATATAAACTAAAACATTTGTACAACAGGGAAAGATGTCATAAATTGGTAAAGAAAAACATAATAAAGGTATCATAAATATAGGGATATTTGATTTGGTGTGGAAGTATGACTCCATATGCAGAAAGTTCATAAGTAAAGTGGTATTTCAAACCCACCTTTTTATTGTAATATTGTTTAAAGAGTAAACAAGTATTAGAATTGTCCTTTAAATATTTCTTTGGGGAGGGCTTAACATACTAATTAATAAAATGTAAATAAGAATAAACCCAGTAATTTAGATCTTAAATCAGCGTCAGACTGAACTCGTTAACTCAGAGCATAGGACAGAGCTAACTGTGTTACACAAAATGTATGAGAGGATCGTTAACACAGAGCATAGGACAGAGTTAACTGTGTTACACAAAATGTATGAGAGGATCGTTAACTCAGAGCATAGGACAGAGTTAACTGTGTTACACAAAATGTATGAGAGGATCGCTAACACAGAGCATAGGACAGAGTTAACTGTGTTACACAAAATGTATGAGAGGATCGTTAACACAGAACATAGGACAGAGTTAACTGTTACACAAAATGTATGAGAGGATCGTTAACACAGAGCATAGGACAGAGTTAACTGTGTTACACAAACTGTATGAGAGGATCGTTAACACACAGCATAGGACAGAGTTAACTGTGTTGCACAAAATGTATGAGAGGACACAGAGCATAGGACAGAGTTAACTGTGTTACACAAAATGTATGAGAGGACACAGAGCATAGGACAGAGTTAACTGTGTTACACAAAATGTATGAGAGGATCGTTAACACAGAGCATAAGACAGAGTTAACTGTGTTACACAAAATGTATGAGAGATCATACAAAACAAAGAATATAATGCAGGATCATGCTAAACTGATCTGGCAGATATAAATAATATACATGTAATTATTGTACACTTTAAACAAACATACTGTAAAAAGAACTTAATATCCATTTTATTATTTGTTAATATGGCTTTTGTGGGGAAAATTTTAGTTTGATATAAACTTTTATTAAGGATGCATTATTGATAAAAAAAAATTATGAGTTGCATCTATGAAAAGGTTTATTTGAAAATTAATGCATCTTATTTTAGAAAAATGGGAGGACACTATTAGAATCGGGAAATGCGCAACAGCTTTATTTTTTAAAGGAAAATTGCAATGGGAGATATTTTACCAATTATAAACTAATGAAGTTTGAACCCTGCTTAATTAAGTGGTTTGGTGGTTCTTTTAGAAACACATTTACAGAAAAAAATTACTTTTCATAAAAAAAAATTACTTTTCATAAAAAAAAATTAATTTTCTTATTTCATTAACATGGAAAACTTTAAAAAAAAAATTAAAACATTGGGGATGAAAGGGTTAAATATTTCATAAAAGAACAGATGTTGCATGTATATAACAATTTTTTGTACATTAAATTATTTTCTGTATGTTCTTTCACAGAACTTGAAGGTTTTCTGTTTCTCATTTCTTGACCAATATCTTATAATGGCTGTTTGTGTGCAGTGCGGTAGGGTCAGTTGTGATGATAGCCAAGCAAAATATGCTTTAATTATTGGAAACTATATGCTAATATCATTTCTTTTGCCCTGTATTATTTTATCAGATGCATATGTCAGGAAAGAATAATATTTTGCACACAGAAGTGATGGGGGAGCAATTCTTGATGAAAGTCCAAAATAACAAAAATTTGCTTCAAAGGCAGGAGAAAAAAATAAACCAAGAAATCATTAGACATAAAATTTTGCCAAAATATCAAATGATTTTTTTATACTCATGATAGTTTTTATGTTGTAAGCTTTATAAAATGTACAAAATGTACGTGACATACTATTCATATTATTGAATTTATCTCAAAGTTAAAATTTCAAATCTGTGACGTAATCAGGATCTATATTAAAAAGATAGTGAGGTTTACAAAATCTGCTTATCCAAAAACAGGAGCACATGCATGGAGTTATTTTGTAAATGTTATACTTAATGTAACTTATAATTTCAAAGATGAATTTTGATAATTGTTCCAAATTTTGAATGCAATTTCTTATCAAATAAATTTATTAATTAGTATGCCAACATGTGAAAGTTAGAAATGTTAGGTTCATCTATGTCACCTGATGTGAAAATTAGTCCTGAAATAAATTAATATGTCACATTGCCCCTTTTTCTTATAAAATGATGTTGTCTGACATTTTAATGGAAATGAGACAAAAGAAGAGACTTTTGTATGGTTTACAATTTGTAAGATTTCATCTAACTAAATGGCATCACATAAGACATCTCTATTTCTAGCATTTCTAAGATTTCATGAAATGTCAGACTTAACTTGATCAGAAAAGAATTAAACATCTTCTCACTTTAACCTTGTTTTTCTGTACTTTCTTGAACGCCTAGGTTAGAATTACAGAAACAAGATAAAAATCAATATAGGCTTTGGATGTATCTATCATGGAGAGATGAATAGGTTTATTACCCCCATTCTAGCAACGTTTCCTTGTCCTCAATTCAACTTCATACAAATGAGATGCAAAAGCAATTTGCATATTTAATTACAGATGTTAATCAACAAGTAATAAATTAAATTATGATGAGCGTTTCCGTTGACATTAGTTTGAACGCTAGAAAAAAGTTGTTGCCACAGTGTAATCAAAGTTCTCATTCATAAATTGAGTCATATAAAGATGTCGATTTTTTGTCTGGATCTATCTGTCAAATATACTATTTATTATATGTAAACATGTATAGTTATTGTCTGGATTTTGGATCATTGAAGCTATACTGAACACAGATGGTATGGCAAAATTAGAAAAGGGAGATACATGTAACTAAAAATACAAACATTAATATAAATGTATGAGTTTTTTTTTTCCCATTGTTGAAGGTCAAACAGTGATTTCTAATTGTTTAAATCCATGTCATTTTAAACTCTGGTGGATAGTTGTCTCATTGGCAATCATACTACTTATCCTTAATTTTATAAAGAATAAGTTAATGCTATATTACTTGAAATTCTGAAATGTGGTGACATCGGACTCAGACTTTTTTTAAACCAGAGGCGGATTCAGGCAGGGGTGTGGCAGGTGTGGGCCCCCCTAAAATTTGCAAAGCATGGGTTGTCCTCAGCTTAATAAAGAATATTTCGATAATTTTACCTCAAAAAAATTTAAGTTTGTGCCCCCCCTAACCTAAAATCCTGGATCCCTCACTGTAAACTGAGTTTTACTGTGCATATTGCTGTGTGTTTGTTTTTTCTACATTGGCTATAGGTATAGGGGGAGGGTTGAGATCTCACAAAACATGTTTAACCCCGCCGCATTTTTGCGCCTGTCCCAAGTCAGGTGCTCTGGCCTTTGTTAGTCTTGTATGTTTTTTAATTTTAGTTCATTTATATGTTTCGGAGTTTAGTGTGACGTCCATTTTCATTGAACTAGTACACATTTTTGTTTAGGGGCAAGCTGAAGCCCGCCTCCGGTTGCAGGATTTTCTTGCTTTGTTGAAGACCCATTGGTGGCCTTCGGCTGTTTTCTGCCCTTTGGTCATGTTGTTGTCTCTTTGACACATTCCCCATTTCCATTCTCAATTTTATTGGATGTTGAAAAAGATTGATAGGTGATTGACCACACACCAGTTAACCTAGGAATCTGTCTTAAGGGTATTACTGGAATGTTTAGAGATCCTAGCACTCTCTGAAGAGTATTTACTGGAATGTTCAGAGATCCTAGCACTGTCTGATGAGTATTTACTGGAATGTTTAGAGATCCCAGCACTCTCTGAAGAGTATTTACTGGAATGTTCAGAGATCCCAGCACTCTGAAGAGTATTTACTGGAATGTTCAGAGATCCTAGCACTCTTTGAAGAGTATTTACTGGAATGTTCAGAGATCCTAGCACTGTCTGATGAGTATTTACTGGAATGTTTAGAGATCCTAGCACACTCTGAAGAGTATTTACTGGAATGTTCAGAGATCCTAGCACTCTCTGAAGAGTATTTACTGGAATGTTCAGATATCCTAGCACTCTCTGAAGAGTATTTACTGGAATGTTCCGAGATCCCAGCACTCTCTGAAGAGTATTTACTGGAATGTTCAGAGTTCCTAGCACTCACGGATTTAATTTCCCCAATCAGACCAGACATGGCTTTGTATTTATACATTCTCTACAGCCAAACAGTGTAGCTTTCAGTGATGGTCTTGCTGAAAAACAAATAAAATTCTAGACAGCCATATTTCTACAGTCCAGGTAGCATTGTTGTTTCTTTTAGGGGGGGGGGGGGGGGGAGGTTAAGATTTTTGCATATTTCAACTCTTCAGTACAGATTTCCTCTTTATTTTGGATATCAGGTCTACATGAGTGACTTTTCAAATATTCAACTGCCACTTACCTCTTATTATTATTTGATGGTTTTTGCCTGCATGATATGGTAATGAAAAGTCTTTTAAAGTGCATAAAATTCTGGCATTCACAAATCTGTCCATCAGATTTGACATTTATTCATTTCTCCCACGCTGAATTTCCATTCATTAATATTTATATTTTTGTAATATTCATTAATGACAACTCTTATGTCATGAGAATTTTTATTTTTATAAGAAAATGACATGTACTACAGTCGGTACACATATGGCCAATAATCAACTACTTGCAATGAAAACTGAAAATTTGATTATTTTTCCAAAGTTTTTTCAACTGTATAAATATATTTACATGTTAGATAAGGATTAACCAGCTTTCATTAT